AACCCTAAACCCGAAACCTTAAGCCCTAAACCCTAAACCCTAGAACCCTACCCTAAACTCTAAACCCTAAACCTCTCTTTCATGTATAATTTCAATGTTGGGGGAGTTACTGGGCAAGGTCATTTGTTTTTACTGGGCAAGGTCATTTTTTTACTGGGCAAGGTCATGTTTCTACTGGGCAAGGTGTTTTTTTGTACTGGGCAAGGTCATGTTTCTACTGGGCAAGGTCATTTTTGTTATTGGGCAAGGTCATGTTTCTACTGGGCAAGGTCATTTTTTACTGGGCAAGGTCATTTTTTACTGGGCAAGGTCGTTCCATAAGTGAAATATGTTCTGAATGTTGTGGAATTCTTTGGGCGGGTGGGTATTTTTCTGGAGTAATTTCTCGACTAGTGAATGCTTGGACTTGAGATGCTTAACCCGAAACCCTAAGCCCTAAACCCGAAACCCTGAAACCCGAAACCCTAAACCCTAAACCCTAAACCCTGAACCCTGAACCCTACCCGGAGGTCTGGGAGGTGCCTGTCAGCTTCATGATCTTCAACTCCGCCGAGCTTGAGAGTTGCTTTACCTCATTGGCTGGGTTTAGGGTTTAGGGTTTAGGGTTTAGGGTTTAGGGTTTAGGGTTTAGGGTTTAGGGTTTAGGGTTTAGGGTTTAGGGTTTAGGGTTTAGGGTTTAGGGTTTAGGGTTTAGGGTTTAGGCGACGCTGCCCAAAGCCCCAAAACACCCTCACTAGGCTGAGCTTCCGGGGGTTTAGAGCAAGGCAGCCTTTTTCAAGTCACGAAAGCTCTGACGCACCCGACCTTAACACTTTCGACTTGGGATGCGCCACCTTCTACTAACAGTCCTTACTAGGGATTATATGTACCCCCTATTCTAGTCCCTACAGTGCTTCAGCTGTATTCTAGTAACCCCCTGATTATTCTATAGTCCCTATTAAGGACGGTTCGTTTGAGGGGGAACATCCCAATCCTAAACCCTCGACCCCACAAACCTCGAGGTTCCGGGTCTAGAGGGAGCACTAAACCCTATAGGCCGCTGCGGAAAAATAACCTTGAGCCCTCCCCCCCCCCCCCCCCCCAAAAAAAAAAAATAAAAAAACAAAAACAAGCAAATAACAAAATAATAATCAGCAAACATAAAGACTAAGAGGTGCATTTTGTTTCATATGAACTAGAGGGTCATAAGACAAAACCCTAAACCCTTTCGAGAACTGACCGTAACGCCGCAGCCCGGTAGCCGCCAGGAGCATTCGCAAGCTTTGAACCAGCCTCGGCGCTCTGACAGCTGAAGAGCCTCTTGCATGGACAGCACACCCTGACCCTAAAAACCCTAAACCCCAAACTTTAGACCCAACAAAGAATCAGCACAAACTGATTGAGGCGTTACCCCCCGAATCTCCCCCCGAAAGCCTGCAAACGAACTACGCCCTAAACGCGCAGTGAAGCCCTAAACTCCCTAACCCCCGCCCCCCCCGCCCCCTAGGGTTTAGGGTTTAGGGTTTAGGGTTTAGGGTTTAGGGTTTAGGGTTTAGAAAGGTTGCTGCTGCGAGAGGCCCTTTAGCGGATTCTCACAGCCCCCCAGCGTTAAGGCTCCCCCTCCTCCCTCCCTCCATGGGTTGCCCTACTACCCCCCAAAATACTACCCCACCAGTGTTCCCCCCTTAAGTACTATATAGTCTCCATGCACTATAATGATTACTATCGGAAATAGGAGTAGAACAGAACACATCTAAAGTAGAAGTACAACAGAGCTGTAACAGAACTAGAGTATAGCTAGAATATGACTAAAATATAACAAGAATATTGCAACAATGGGGGGTATTTAAGGCTAGGGGACAGGGGGGTTTAGTATTGGGGGGGAGGAGATTAGGCCCTCAACAGCAAGGCCCGCCCCAGGCCAACCCTGTCCTTGAAACAAGGGGAGAAAAAAGTTTTTGGGGTTTGGATGGGGTTTAGGGTTTAGGGTTTGGGGTTTGGGGTTTAGGGTTTGGGGTTTAGGGTTTGAAGTTTAAGGGGTCGAATTCCCACACTACTATTTGCTTAAGGCCCCGCCTCAATAAAAAAAAACAACAAAAGATAATAATCTCCATATGAGTAGTGGTCCAAACCTCTAGTATGTCCTGACTGTCGCGTAGAATAGGGTCGGCCCCATATCGGTTATGTGGGAATTATCTATGGGAGTTGGGTATCGGTTTAGGGTCGGCCCCTATCGGTTTTCGTGGTAGAGCAAACTTGTCAATTCCATATGGCTCCTCTAATCATGGCTGCCTCTTCCAGAGGTTTTGGAACAGTTGTGAATCTTCTGGGGTGTTCTTACGCAAGTAGCATATCCCAAGCCCTAAATTTGAAGGTTTTTGGGGCTTGGGATCCCTGCGGCGGAATGTGGAAGCAGGTTTAGGGTTTAGGATTTGTCGTCTAGGGTTTAGGGCATCATTTTCTGAGATGCCCCGAACTACACAGCCCTGATCACTTGCAGAATCTTGCGTATGACGTATGTCCTTCATCGGGTTCTAAGCATTGTCCTAACCCTACACCTTCCTCCCTACCCTAAACATTAAACCCTAAACCCTCAAACCCCTAAACCCTAGAAACCCTCAACCCTGGAAACCGTATAAACTCTAAACCCTGGAAATCCTTTAAACCCTATAAACCCTAGACCATATAAACCCTAAACCATAAACCCTAAACCCTAAACCCTAAAAACCCTAAACCCTAAAAACCCTAGACCATATATACCCTAAACCATAACCACCCCACCCAGCTCATGAAATGAGCTCCTGGCTTCTCTGCATGCTGCTTGTCCTGCAAAAAAAAACAGCTCTCCCTGAGCCCCACCCCTCCAATTCTACCCTAAACCCTAAACCCTAAACCCTAAACCCTAAACCCTATAACCTATAACCCTAAACCCTAAACCCTAAACCCTAAACCCAACCCTAAACCTACCAAGTTGGGCCTCCTAGCTCCTCCCCCACCTGAAGGCCCCCGTCAACTGCGGGCTCGCATAAGGGCTGACAGTTCTGAGGGCTCAGGGTTTAGGGTATAGGGCTAGGGTTTAGGGTTTAGGGTTTAGGGTTTAGGGTTTAGGGTTTAGGGTTTAGGGTTCAGGGTTTAGGGTTTCGGGTTTAGGGCATCTCTGCTGTTGAGAGCTTTTGGATTGTCGGGGTGGCAGATTCGGTGAGACGTCGCCCTGTCTCCCACTGCAACTGTCTCTGGTTCTCTCTCGCTCTCTCTGTCTCTCTCTCTCTCTCTCTCTCTCTCTCTCTCGCTCGCTACCCTAACAAGCCAAAGCGCGAACACCCTCACTCTACACCCAGGAAGTGGAAAACTCAAACCTCCGTGGATTAGCGTTGGTCCTCTTCGTACTTCTGGGACAGCGCCCGGTCATTTTCCAACCTCCGGGCGGGTGACTGCTTCTCGAGCAACCCTAAACCCTATACCCTAAACCACTGGGGGTGCGCCCAGAGATCCCAACGCCAAAGCCCAGGGCGCGAATCCTAGGAGCCCCTACTGAATGTGAAAACTCCCTTCCAGACAGGGGGCTTTCTCTGTGTATTCGTATTATGAGGGTTTAGAGTTTAGGGCTGAGGGTTTCGGGTTTGGGGATTAGGGTTGAGCAACCTAGGAATAGCTTGTAAGGGAACCTAAACCCTAAAAAACAAGGAATGAGGGCCTACTCCTAACCAACTGGTTCTTAGGCCTAAGCCCTAAAACAGGAGCTTTACTGGTACCCTGTAAGCAAGACCCGTAAGGTTTAGGGTTTAGGGTCTAGGGTTTAGGGTTTTTTTTGTGGGGGAATACAAACGAACTTGGCAGCTGTTGAATGTGGGCCATTTGGGGGCATATATATATATATATGAGGAATAAACAGAATACATGTATGCAGATTGCCTGGCAAGTAAGATCTCTTCTCTAGACCCGTAAACCCTATATAAACCCCACAGACTAAAACCTAAACCCTAGTGAACTCCTAAACCCTATATAAACCCCCACGCCCTAAACTTTAGTTTCCCTAAACCCTGAACTTGAAACCCGACTTCGATAAACCCCTGAACCCCATGTAAACCCCACACACCCGAAAACCTAAACATCTCTAAGCCCGCTAGAGAACCCGGCACATCCCTCTAAGCCCTGAACCCAAATCTCCGAGTAGCATTTGGCCGGCATCTTCCAATGAAGCCTCCAGGCTTTCTTTCTCCTTGCCTGAAGTGGTTGGGGTTTGGGGGTTTGGGGGTTTGGGGGTTCGGGGGTTCGGGGGTTCGGGGGTTCGGGGGTTTGGGGGTTTGGGGGTTTGGGGGTTTGGGGGTTTGGGGGTTTGGGGGTTCGGGGGTTTGGGGGCTTGAGGCTTTGGGGCTTGTGTTTTTGTTTCTTGTTGTTGCCGATCTTTCTTTTTTGGAAAACTGGTCAGGTTCAGGGCTTCGTTGGGTTCAGGGTTTAGGGTTTCCCTTGTTTTTTTGTAAGGGGAGAGAAGGAGGGGCGGCACCTGCCGAGCCACTGCACTGCGAGGTCCTCCCCACAAAGCAACGGAACTCCCCCCAAGACCTTCCATAAGTCTGGCCGCGGAGAGAGAGAGAGAGAGAGAGAGAGAGACAGAGAGAGACAGAGAGAGAAAGAGAGAGAGAGAGGGAGAGAGAGAGCGAGAGAGAGGAAAAAGAGAGCGAGAGAGAGAGAGAGAGAAGAAAAAGAGAGAGAGAGAGAGGCAGAGACCGAGAGAGAAAGAAAGAAAAGACGCAGAGACAGAGACAGAGGCAGAGAGAGAGAGAGAGAGAGAGAGAGACAAAGAGCGCCAGAAACATCAACAGATTCGGGGATCCGTCTCAGTAGACGAGTTCTGCCCAATACAATGCCAAAGACTCTCGCACATCGGCACCCCTGCTTGGAGTTACATGTAGAGGGTTTAGGGTTTAGTCAGTCAGTCAGGGACAGCGAAGAGACTCCATGTCGCGCTGAGTATAGCACTTACTGGCCATACGTGATACAAAAACATGCAGCAATGACACTCATCCGGAAAGCCAACGGTCGATGAGAACCTTCCCGTCTGGCAGAAAATCCGCCATTTGAACGGGGGCTCTATTCACCGGGAAATGTTGTACAAGAATGTTGGCTACATCAAAAACGGTGTCATCGAATTTTTTTAAGCTCGGCAGCAATGCTTGCACTTCCCATCCCTCCAACTCCAGCAGAGAAGCGCACAATGCAGCAGTATCAGCTTCCCTTCTAGGCCTTAATGGCCCTTGGACACGGATCACTGGCCAGTGAGATGCCGGACCTGGAGAGGGCGTCCAGTCAGTATCACTGCACGGTTGCATCGTGGCGAGCAAGAAAGGGAGGCAACCCGTGTGGCCGTGCGCCAAGTGACGGCACAACCTTTCAGTGCCCCAGTAGTTGCGCAGGCACGCTTTGCAAGTCGAGCCGCTAGCAAAGGGCCTGGCGATATTGGTGTGGTCATGTTGGCATTGGACATGGGCGGCCAAGTGTGAGGTGGATGGAAAAGTAGCCTCACAGAGCCAACAAGCAAAGTCGCCAGCTAAGGTAGGCGGTGGACTCTTGTCCACCCTGGCAATTCCTTCCCTTCTTGCTCTCACCTGGAAGGCAGCCCACTTGCCCAAGCTGTTTGTATGGGCCCTGACAGCAAGCTTCAGCGCTCTGGTGACAACTGTTGCGTGCTCGGACGCGAGGCTTAACAGGCCATCCGCAGAAGCACAAGCACTCCTGACAGTCTGCTCGTTGATGACGCCAGGCGCCCACTTGGCTAGAAAGGCCAAGTCTCGATGGATTTGGTGAATCCACGAGTCATCCGTTTGAGCTGCATGCTCCAGGAGTAGCTCCCATAAGAACCGGTTGTCATCCCGCACAATCCTCAAGAGATGCCTGACCCGTTCTACGAGCAAGAGGGCAGCTGGTGCTGGACGGCAGAGTGCTCCCGCCAACTCTGGAGTGCCTGGGTAGGCCGGGTGATGATCCCACCTATCCTCCGGTAGAAGCATGCGGTACATGACCGAGATGCCCTTCTCCCATCTGTCCAGTGACGCTGCATCAGGCACCCATACTCCTACATTGTGTGAGGCAGATGAAAGAGCCAGGGCCTCCAGGAGCTGACACCTGCCCTTGAGAGGGATGGCTGGATTGCGCAGTACTTGTTTCGTCAAAGGGGCGGCCGCCTGGACACCATGAGCCAGCTTAGCAGCAAAATCCGCCTTTGATGACAGCTGCGCCGAAACGAGTGTCCCGAGGTGTGTGTACCTGTGAACCACGGCCAGATCCAGATGGCAGTTTGGATCGGACTGGACTTTGATGACATGTCGGTCGTGCAGGAGCTGTTTCTTCATAGCCTGGCTGCCCTTTCCAGTCCAGAAGATGACCGCTTCTGTCTTGCCCCTGGCATAGTTCGGAGCAAGACCTCTCCTGGTATAGGCCGTGTGCATGATGGCGCATACCTTGCTCAGCCTGGTTGGGAGCCTGGCAGCCTCATTGGAGCAGACCGGTATGCACACGTCATCTGCCCAAGTGGGCTGCTGGGCTGGTGAGCATTGCGGACCACTGAGAAGATCCTCAGCCTCCAGCCTACTGGAGATCTCTGCCATGGCATCGCAAAGCACAAATGCGAAGAGAACATCAGCCATGGCATCACCCGGACGCGTGCCGGCACGAGAGCGGAAGGCACATGGCAGGCCTCTTAGGACAAAATTGGGGCAGGCAAACCAGGAGGCAACAATGCGTCTGATATGGGGAGCCACGCCCGTGAGCAGAGTGTCCCCTTTCATCCATGCCATAACCCCATCATACGCCTCTTTGGAGATTTCCAGCTGCTCAAGTATGCTGCAAAGTTCATCGTCACAGCTCGGCAGCTTGACCAAGCGCTCTCGCAAGACCCTGTAGAACGCTGATTTCGCATCCACGAAAAGGAGAGCGCAGCAGTATCCCTTGCTCTTCGACAGTGCTGCAAGCGTGAGAAGATAATGCGTGAGCTGCGCTGATGAGCTGTGAGGGGTGCTGCCTTGCAGCAGGGCCGGCTTCTGCCCAGCAAGGGATTCGACCAAATGTGGCCGCAGCAACTTGCGAAGGGCTTTGCCTACCCCCTCCATGAGGTAGATTGAGCGATGACTCTCGACATCAGTCACTGCTCCTTTGCCTTTGTAGAGTGTGGAAAGCAAGGGCTCGGTGAGGCGCAAATGCGATTTTAAAAGCAGAGGCAGCCAGATGCGCGCTGCTTTTGCGGCACTGCACAACCACACCTCGTTAGGCAGTCCTGAGACTCCAGGGGCTTTCCTTTTGGGGAGATCTCTCAGGGCCTTTTCAAGATCAAGAAGCGTGGGAAGGTCCTGAATGCGAAAGACTGCCTTCTGCGGAACCTCCAGGTAATGGGACCCTATGGAGGAAGCACATACAGGTCTAGCTGCCTCTAGACCTCCAAAGTGCGTCGCCCTGACCCCTTGTGCTTCGGCAAATGTGTGCACCGCTTCTCCGTCTGCTCCGTTAAGCATCCACAGTGGGCCCCATAGCACCCGTTTGGAGGCCGGCCGGATGTGTTTAAGCGCGGCGTAGACAGTCTGCGCCTTTTTGCTTGCTGTGCCCTCTTGGATGTCAGCAACTAACCTATGAATGTACGCATTGCGATCCGCTGCAAGCTGAGTGCGCACATTATAGTTGGCTAGGGCAATGACATGCTCCCAAATGGCCACTACAAATCTATCAAGCTTGATAGTGCGCATAGCTTGTGCACTTCTCTTTCTCTTGCAATGCGCAAAAAAGGAGCGCAACCTGCTCTGGTCAAGTCGTTTCCTGGCGGCTTGGACTTGCTTGACAGCGCAGCGTTTCTGGGCAATCCTTTCAACTGCTTCGCTGCTCACATAGGGCTTGCGAGGGCATTTGGGCTGAGCCTTGATCGAGGCTTCAAGGCTCTGCCTGGCGGTGTGCAGAAAGGCCTCGGTGTGCTCATGAACACTGACTTCCCATGGCAGTTGAATGGAAGCAGCGGCATCAAGCGCCCTATCATAAGCCTCCGGAGGCAATCTTCTGAAGGTGCGTCGTGCTGGAGGACAAGAGACGCTTTGCGCAGGCTGTATCCTGCAGTGAATGATGACCGGTACATGATCATCGCGCGGGTTGAGCAGATCAAAGTCCGTTCCAGGTTGGGACCACGCGTCAGCTCCCCACGCAGCAGGAACAGCAATGTAGTCCAACCTGGTCTGCTTCCAGGTGTAGGGGGAGACCTCTTGTAGCACATGTGAGTGTGTATTCAGCACACAAAGCTCTAGCTTGGATGCGAGATCTGCAAGCAGGTCGCCCGCCAAATCTTGGTCCCCAGTTCCAATGTCACCGACATGTGGCAGGAAAGTGTGATGCAATTTGGCGTTTGCATCTCCCAGTAGCACACACTGCCACTTGGCGGCAAGCGGTGTTAAGATCGTCCTCAGACGACCCCACCATTGGGTAATTTCAGCGGCTGGTCTGAGGCTGTGCGGGCCTCGATATGCCACGAAAAGCGCACGGCAGGCTGGATGTTGACAAGCAACCATAAGGAGTGTGGGCTCGCTGCGGAGGACGAAAAGGTGCTCCGGCTGCAGAGGGACTCTTGACTTGCCTTTACCCCATTGTGCAGCCGAATTAAACCACAAAGCAATCCCGTCTCCCCCTTTATGAGCTCCCGAATGAAACGTAATCCACTCCCCATTTATCTGGCCTTCCTTGCACCTTGTCTCTTGGAAGGCAGCCACATGCAGTCCCAGCTCCTGGCCCTGTTGTTTGAACGAGGCAATTTTGCCTGTCAGTGTGCAAGCATTGGCCGTCATCAGCTTCAGGACACAGGGTTTCTGGCCAACAGGTGCCTTGCAATGCACATCCCGGAGGATTGAATGAAGGTCATCGGCAGTCGGCACGTCTACCTGCTCATACTGGCCTTGACAAAGCTGGTCCAGACTTGGAAGGCCTGCACCCGTGTGTGCCAGCCAAGCCCATGGCAATAGCGGATGCCTGAGGAAGGGTACGGAGGCCAATTTTTCTCTTCGCCCTGCGTCTGCGATCCTATCGGCAATTTCATTCCAGAGGAGGCCCGAGTGACCCTTGACCCAATGATGCTGCAGCGATATCCCTCGTTCCAGAAGACAGTGGGTGACCATGCGCAGGGCGTCGTGCAGGAGTGGCTCACCACCTTCTTTGGGCCGTATGGTGTTGGACCAACCCGCCGCTTCTCCTAAAGTGATGCAAGAATCTCCATGCAAGTGGACTGGGATCTTGCCGGCAGAGAAGGCGAACAGGGAGGCCACAAGAAGAGCCTGTGCCTCAGCCGTATTGTTGGTTTGGGCGAGGGACTCATCCAGAGGGAACAGTTTGCCCGTGGGCCCCCCGGCAACCCCAACCAACCGGAAAGGAAGGGAGACATCTTCGGCCGTCTGTACACAGAGCACGGCTCCCCATCCACCTTTGCCGTGTTTGGCAGAGCCATCTGTGAAGACGTGAAATGCAAGGACAGGTCCATCCATGCCTCCCCAAGGAGCAACCTGCTGACAAAGCTTAGCGCTCAAGAGCTTGGCCGGCCATTCCCAAAAACCTGACCACGGCATCGAAATTGCCTGAAGGCAGTTTCGCAGCTGTTCAACAGTCGGAGTGGGTACCCGAACGGCGTCAGCAAGTGCAATTGGTTTGGGAGGCACTTCCATAGGGTCAATGCATCTTCTGCCAAAGGGGGTGGGCACAATACATCTGGCCTGGGTATGCAAAGACGACTGAGGACCTTGTAAGCTGCTTGCAGCGCTTCCAGATTCTGGCAACCGTTCCGGGGGTGGCGCTGCCTCTGCTGGGGGTGGAGCCTGCCCAGTAGCATAGCCTCCCTGCGAGTCAGCGCAAGGAGCAACTGGTGTCTCCTCAGTAGTTCGATTTCCTTCAGTCTCAGGCTCTTCTCCTCTGAGATCTGGCACAGGAGGAGGCGGAGGCCTGGCTGTGGCTTTGATTGCCTCCAGGGGGACGAGGTCGGGGGGCGGGGGGTCCGTCGGCTGGCCGCTTGCTGCTCGCCGAGTGGTGGTGTTGGCCACGGTCCTACTGCTGACATCCGCCCCCATCCCATGACAGTTGGCCGCTGTGTGACACATCTCAGCCAGGGCGGCCCCAACCCCTTGCCAATCCGCTCGCGGCCAAATGTCAATGGTACACAGCCCGAAGCCTAACCCCCTCGCATCAAAGGGCATAGCCCTCCACCCCGGGAAGGCAGCCGTGAGAGTGACCGCGAACTGCGGGGTAGGAAACCCGGACAGTGGCATTTCAAGTAGCCTGACTTCACGTACCGGGCCAGGGGCTGATAGAAGAATATCAGCCACAACAAACTCAAGTCTCGCACTGGGATCAAGGTAACGCACATGAGCATGCCTATGCACATCAAAGACAGTGTATCGCCGAAGCGGGTGGTCACTGAAGGACAGGGCACTGTTGATGCCAGCCAGGAACGCTCTGTCGATAAGTTCATCAAACGAGGCCGGCAACAAAGCAAGGGGACTACCCCTCCCGGAGGCAAAATGCGAGACCTTACATGCACCAATTTGTGAGAAGTCAGTCGCAGGTGGAACCCGGGCAGCCCATGTATCTTCGTGAGAAAGACTAGGGGCCCTGACCTGCTCAATACCGAAATCACTCCAGCAAAGCTTGAGCCTGGCTTCACTTGCGCTACCCTCCATCGCCGCGCAAGGCGAAGTCCTGTGCTTGCTTGACGTGCGTATGTGAACAAGGCTCGTCCCTTGCCTAGGCGGCCTGTGATACCTCTGGACAGTGGCGTGTTGTGGATGGCCAACTGACAGGACCTCCAGGCCTGCGGGAGCAGGGAAATGGGACGCCGTGTGGATATTGTCAGTCGTGACTGGCCAGAGCAGAAAGGTGAGCGGGAAAGCAGATGCCGGCACCAGATGCCAGCACTGGTTCCTTTCAAAGGCATCTCTGGCCACAAAGACTGCCGAATCAAGTGCCATGATGCGAGTATCCACTAGATCCCTAATATCCCTCCAAGTATCAAGCAAGGCCAACGCTTCGGTAATTTGGGCAGCACTGGCCGGCAATCTGCCTTGCACGCAGATCATAATTTCTCCTCTGACTCTGTTAAACACAAAGGCCTGTCGTTGTGGCGACAGCCAAAAGCCAAGTCGAATCGCAGTGTTTTCAAGCCAGTCTATAATATGCCGATGTACTTGGAGGGATGCCTGCGTCTGGTCTTGCGGCAGCTCCTGTAGCACAAGCGAACTGGTCTCAATCGCAAGGAGAGCCAAGTTGTTCCATCTTCGGAAAACCGATGCTCTAGTCAAAATCGGCGCAGACAAGGCATGCCATGAGGCTGTGATCAGGTCTCCGTCTTGCAGTAACCCACAGAAACATTGGCTAGGGATGCCATTGATCCAGATGTGCACACCTGCCTGCCTAAGTTGGGCGTCGATCAGCGATACAGGATCCTGATCGGTATCTACTGCATGCTGCCTTAGGCCACCCCCAACGCCCCGAAGATCAACAACCACTTGGGTGGCGAAATCAAAGGGACTCCAAACCATCAGAACTTCAACGAGCTGCATGGAGTGGTGAGGCATTACCTGTGCTAGGCGAAAGCTCCCCTGGCCAGGAGCTCTCCCGTGCACGATATGGGCCATGGCAGCCTCGGCTACATCTTCTGCCAAGTCATGGATGCTGGTGCCCTGTATGGGACGGCACGCAATGGCAGTTCCAGAAACCAGAGTCAGGACCAACTGTCCTGACGGTGCGAGAGGCAGAGTGGTGGTATGAGTGCGGCTAGTGGCCCTCATGAGGGTAGTAGTTGTTGTAGAACTCGCGGCTCCAGTATCACTATGTGCCTCTGTGCCGGACATCTGTTGGAAGCGCCTCCGTCTCCACCTGCCACCTTGGGTTTCCTCTCTGACGCCATCCCGCTCCTGGGGTGGAGCATGGGGGTGCAGAAAGATAGAATGCTCCGAATCACAAGGCGGCCAGAAATCAGCATAGTAAGAAGCACCCGGAACAGGGCTTCCTGACAGCGGCAGCGTCCAAGGAATAAGCCTGGTTACAGCGCTCCACCCCAGACCATGCTCCACCTGAAAGGCAGCAAGGTCGGGCCCCCGCGAGGAAAGCAGGATGTAGTGGGTGCGGGGGTCCATGAGACCAGGCACCGCAACAAAGGTCCACCTTCCAGTGTGCTGGGTGCGCGTGTCAAAGAGCTGCAAAGAACCATATCTACTGCCCAGCCAGGTCTCAACCCATTCAGCCACAGCTTCAAGTGAAGGCCGCTCTCTTCCCAACGAGGCAGTGTAGGCGAAACCCTGCCCCACAACAGTGAAGAAGACACTTCCCCTTATAAACCCCAGCGATCTAAGTCGGGCACCCACCGCACTATCCCAATGGAAGGAAGAGTGATCCGTTTGACTCGAGGCCCAACGGGGGCGTCTGCTGATGCCGGACGGGATTGGTAAGGGAAAGAAGGCAGCCTGTATGCCTGGAATTGCCGAAGCCAACTGGTCCGGCAAACGCACATCAGGAGCTTGGGGCACAATGGAGGCTGAAACTAGGCCACCATGACGCATCTCGCCTGGGGCATCCCACCTGTGACCATTGAAGTAGAGTGCCCGTATGTTTGTCCCGGGTGCTAGAATCGACTCGGGCCCTGCGAACTGTCCGACCTGCAAAAAGGCAAGTTCAGCAGTGGGTCGCGCATCTACCCAGACATAGATGGGTTCAACCCTGGTTTGGGGTGCAGTCAGGAAGAACAATAGCTCTCTGCACGATGCTCTCGGTTCTGGCTGCACAGGCGAAGCCTCGATTGAGAGTCCCAGGGGGAGTACCTGTTCGTCTGCCGCTTTCTGGACGAGCATATGCAAGATCGTGGGCAGATCAACATCCCAATCCAGCGCGACTTCAACGATGGTACCCCTGGGTAGGCCGTTCGGAATCCCCAAACGCGCAATGGTCCTGCGCGGTGTATGCACCACAAACTGGAAGGGGTCTTCAACACGACTAGTGGAGGTGGTAGTGGTTGAAGTGAGAGTCCCTTCATTGGTGTTATTACCCTGATAGGCCAAAGCAGATTGCCTAAGCCCCGGAATCTGTAGCGCAATATGAAGCGTGTCTTCAACCACACAGACTGCTCCGTCAAGTGCAGGTACAACCGTGGCAGCAGCACGATTGGCCGTGTTGTGATACACAGTTGGCGGTGCAACAAGGCCTGACTGGATCAGGAAAGCCTCAGCAGCGCTGGCCAGGCCATGTACATCCCCATCCTGTCCCGGGGTGGCCTCTATCAGCCGTATGCAATGGAGGTGTGGCCCAAAGATCCGTCTCATGTCAAAGAGGAAGGGCTTGGTCCTGTCACTCCCAGAGGGTAACGCAAGAACATGCCCATGCACTCCAACAAAGACAGGCTGTCTGGGTGGGAAGACAATCCTCCATGCGTTAATACCGGAGGATCCCCCAAGCCGGCTTGCAACATGCCTGACTAGCACCTCGGGCGTGACTAGTCTGTCGAAGTGTGCTGTCCACGGCATGTGGCCCACTGCATGAAAGGCAACAAGAATGTGCTCATCGTGTTCGTCTGGCCGGTAGAGCACATGAAAGGGAAGGCATCTTCCGAAGGAGTCAGATCCTTCTGTGGCCGTAGTGCTGCTATTTCCACTAGAGGCGGAGGCTGACGAAGTGGAGGGAGTCGGCGGAGCAGTTGCTTGTACTTCCACTACTAAAGTGGCATCTTCATCCAGGATGGATGCATCGAAAGGCGAAACGGGCGTCCCGTCAACCCTAAGAACCCTCCAAAAACCCCTAGCAACAAACCTGTGCGCTGCAGATGGCACTGCTGGGCAGGCAAGTGTAGCTTGGTAGATGTGGGCAAAGCAAGTTGCAGCAATCGGCACCATTACGGTGCAGAAAGAGCCAACAGCGGCGCGCATGTCAATTGGCAAAGCAGTCCAGTCGGGCGCAGTACCCGCTGGCACCAGAACTATCTGCAATCGTGGCAGCCCGGCAAACGGCAGCTGCAGAACGCGGATGTGCCCTATAGGCCCCGCTCTTGTCTTATGCAGAGCATCCTGGATAGCGTCCACAATTCCCCAGGATGCTTCAAAGGGGCCGGTTCTAATGTGATCGACTGTGTCGAAAAAGGCATACCTGCCTGCCTGTGCGCCTATTTCAGCAAGGGTCTGCAGGTCCTCTGGCATCCAACAGTCGGGGAACCAGAGGCCATCCGGGTGGAGAGGCTGTTGGCAGGCATCAGGTCCCAAGAGAACCGTGCGTTCACCTACATAGGGTGGTAGTGTCGGCACATGAAACAGCCTAGGCCATGTCATGAGGAGCGGGAAGCTGTCGACACCGGATTCAGTAGGCGGCAGATGGTCTTCCTCAACCTTAGTATGTGCGTCACCACTGCAAGACCGGTCGAGCAGGCCAAGAAAGCCGCGATTTAGAGTGCACACCCCCGCATTCGTCCATTCGGCCTTTGAGGCACGGCCAAATGGATGTGCAAAGCGTGGACCGTCTGAAAAGTTGCCTCCAAGTGGGCATTCTGCTGACACGGGGGCAATCAAGGCCGAGTTGCCGATGTTCTCAGCAATGCAACGGTTGAATTGCCTATTCCACTTGTTCCGCCACGACGTTGAGGAACAATCAACCCTCGACAGCTCCGGAAGTTGGAAGGAGACATGGAGGGGAAGCACATGGTGGTGGCGGTGGAGAGCAGGGAAGCACAAACTAGCCCTATCTCCCGATTCTGGGAAAGGAAAGCCAGCAACACCTCGTTGGCAATCAAATGTGCACACACGGGGCTGACAGTCTAACTCAAAACTATGTACAGATTGCTCCACCGCGTCAACAATACGCGGATCAGCAGCCAAGGGAAAATTAGATGCAATACTTTCCGGAAGGGCCAGCTCAAACGACAGATTGACCGCAATCAAAGCCGCCTTCCAGGTACCCACGAAGTCCAGCTCCTCTTCGACAGAGTGAAAGCCAGAAAAAAGCTCAACAGCAGACTTCATTCCATAAGAACCAGGCCATGAAGTAAGTGGAGCGTCACGCTCATGTAGTCCCGTCAGGCTCGTACATGAGCTTCTCAAAAAGACTGCCCACCAGAAGCTGGTGCAGGCACTCCTTTTTGTGCAGCTGTTCCCCCGGCTGGAGGCGCCAAAGCTGCCAACTTGGTCTCTTCTTCGTCTTCGCCTTGTTGGGCCTCCTCCGAAACCCTCCTGACTTTCCTCCTCGGGGTGCAAGAGCCTGGCCGTTCGGACCTTGCCACTTCCCTCGCCGTCGTCTGGGTGGCCTCGAGCAACTGGGCCACTTGACGCGCCTGCTCCTCCATCTTCTGCTGATGTTCTTGCTGCAGCGTGCGAAGGTCTTGCTCTGCCGCCAAGGCTTCGTTGACTTGAGCTTCTGAGACTTCCATCTCCTGATCTTCTTCTAGCGCCCCAGGCGATTCCCGGATGGCTTGTTGCAGTGCTTGAGTTGCGGAGGTCAGCTGGGCAATCCACTCCCTTTCGGCTTGATGGAACGCCAGCATCTTCTCTTGCCTTTCCTTCGTCTGTTCCTGCCACAACTGCAGGAGATCCGTGGAATACTTCTCCCAAGCGGTGTTGAAGGCCAGCATATCTTCCCTGACCTTTTTTAGTCCCTGCAAGGCCGACGTCTTGATGGCGACCATCTTGTGCAGACGTTTGGCCTGATTCTTGGGATCTTGACTCGCCAGATGTCCCACTTGCTCTTGTAGCGATTGAGGAAGAGCACCTACATCGACATGCCTCAGAATCTGTTCGATCAGCTTGCGATCCTCCCCACCTCCCTCTGCCATTCCCTGCTTGGGGAGCTGCACTTTGGACGAAGTGGGTGGGGCAGGTAAGGCTGCAATCGCTGGCGCTGATGTAGTCTCCTCCCCTTCTTTCCGCACGCCTTTGGCACCGCTCTGTTTGCCTTTGCCCTTGGCTTCTTGGAACGGCTGTCTTCTCCTGGGAGATTGACGTCTCCTCGCCGGTTGCGCCTGTTCCTGCTAAGGAGGGGGTGGTGTCCACTGGGCGTACGACTGCTCCTTGGCTGCACACTTCTGCCAGTGTCCCCCGCAGTTTGGGCAATAGTTCGCCGAAAGCTTCACCGCTTGTTTGCACTGTGAGCACTTCCACGAGGTAGGCTCTGTCCACTGTGACGTTGTCGACTTGCTCGCCATCGCTGCTTCTGCTTGACGAAGACGAAGAACCTGTTTCGGCAAGGTAGAGAGCGAATGATGTCTCAACAGTCGTTGAACGGCCACGTCGACAGCCAGTCCTTGTGAGCGATGGTGTCCTGCTAGCACTCCCCTCAGCAAAGTGCGAGCTTCGGTTCTGTATCTGCGAGAGCGGCGATGTGCCGCTGTTTCCTTCCGGGCTTGCAGTCCAGGAATGGTCCTTGAGGCCAAAGGTCCAGCAAAGTGCTAAACCCCACACCCAGAAGACAGCGCCAAGCCAAATACCCATAAACGCCTACCACCAAAGCAAACCAGGTCGGTGGAGGCAGAAGATCCAAGCTTATGCAGAAGCTGGACGAGAACACAAGGGGGTGCCAAGCCCCAGACCAAAAAGGCACAGGTATGCAAACCACCAGGGCGGACCAGATCAGTGGATGCAAAAGGAGGGGGTGCCAATCCCCACAAAGGGCACAATACCGCAGGCCACCAGGGCGAGACCAGGTCAGTGGCAGCTGTGAATGGGGGTGCCAATCCCCAAGAAAAGGCACAGAGAGCAGACCACCAGGGCGATACCAGGTCAGTGGCAGCTGAGAAAGGGGGTGCCAAACCCCAAGAAAAGGCACAGGGAAGCAGACCACCAGGGCGAAACCAGGTCAGTGGCAGCTGCAAAGGGGGGGTGCCAGTCCCCAAGAAAAGGCACAGTGGAGCAGACCACCAGGGCGAACCAGGTCAGTGGCAGCGAAGCGTGGGCCGTCGGCCACACAGGGTATGCGGGGAGCCGGAGGACCACAGGGGAAACTACTCCAGGCTCGAACCGCAACGCCTTTAGGGTTTAGGGTTTAGGGTTTAGAGTTTAGGTGCAGGGTTTGGGTTGCATCTGTAGTGTTTAGGGCGTTTACGCACTCAGAGCTGCCCGAAAGACCCTATTAAACCCACAGAAACCCGGGTTTTTGAAGGGAACCCAACCCTAAATAAAAAAATAAGCGCCTTAGGGTTTAGGGTTTAGGTCGAGACCCGATCAAAACCTAGAAGCACTTTTTCCAACGAGGGCTCTCGCAAGTGCCTGAAAACGCTATAGACCATGATCCTACAACTCTTTGTCGCCCGGTAGCCATATTACAATAGGGCACCCGTTTTTGGGGTTGGTTACCCTAAACCCTAAACCCTAAACCCTAAACCCTAAACCCTAGACCCTAAACCGAAAAGGGCACCACTGGGCCAGCAAGAAGTTCACTCCAGGGTGCGGAGGGCTTTGATGCTCTTGCTCCTCGGTCTCTGGCTTAGCTTTGGAGTAGACCCTGGAAAAAAAAAGTATATACTTTTTGGGTTTTGAGTAGCTATTTTATAGGAACCCAGAACCAAAAAAAAGTATTAAAGTGTAGTACTCCAAAACTCAGCTCAAAAATCCTTCGGGGGCTTCATCATGGAACCGTTGATCACGAAACAAGCCCAAGCCCCGGACCCGAGAGCCCCAAACTCAACCGCAATAAACCCTAAACCCTTTTACCGTAAACCCCTGACATCTCACAGCAACCTCCCAGAAGACACTGTCCCCCCCCCGCCCCCCCCCCCCCCCCCGCCCCCCCCGCCCCCCCCCCCGCCCCCCCCCCCCCCCCCCCCCGCCCCCCCCCCCCCCCCCCCCCCCTCCGCCCCCCCCCCCCCCCCCCCAAGTAAGAACTCGAACCCCCACTGCGCAGGAAGGGTTAGGGTTTAGGGTTTAGGGTTTAGGGTTTAGGGTTTAGGGTTTAGGGTTTAGGGTTTAGGGTTTAGGGTTTAGGGTTTAGGGTTTAGGGTTTAGGGTAAAGATGATAGCTTTTGGATCCCTGGCAAGCCTTGGACCCAAATCCCAACACCAAAACACCAAACCCTAAAAGCCCTACATTTGGGATGTTCCCCTTTCTACGAACAGCTCCTTAGGGTTAGGGTTTAGGGTTTAGGGTTTAGGGTTTAGGGTTTAGGGTTTAGGGTTTAGGGTTTAGGGTTTAGGGTTTAGGGTTTAGGGTTTAGGGTTTAGGGTTTAGGGTTTAGGGTTTAGGGTTTAGGGTTTAGGGTAAAGATGATAGCTTTTGGATCCCTGGCAAGCCTTGGACCCAAATCCCAACACCAAAACACCAAACCCTAAAAGCCCTACATTTGGGATGTTCCCCTTTCTACGAACAGCTCCTTAGTAGGGATTACAACAGGGGTACTAGAATCCCGGTTAAGGACTGTTAGTATAAGGGGGAGCATCCCAACATACATTCTCAAAAACCTAATAAGCCGTAAACCCTAAACCCTAAACCCTAAACCCTAAACCCTAAACCCTAAGAGCCGGGGCGCAGCTCGAGCTTCTTCTTGAACTTCGCCACGGCCACAGCTGCCTTCGGCCAGGGGTTGAGGGGAAGGTGGGCGTTCCAGGGTTTAGGGTTTAGGGTTTGGGTTTAGGGTTTGGGGTTTGGCTTTTAGGGTTTGGGGTTTAGGGTTTAGGGTTTGGGGTTTGGGGTTTGGGGTTTAGGGTTTGGGGTTTGGGGTTTGTAAGAGCTTTGGGATGCTTGGGATTTATCTGGTTTAAGGGGGGCCCAGACTTGGTTGTCGTTTGGACGCTTAGGCTGTGGGGTGCAAGGGTGCAAGACCCATGAACCTTAAATCCCTCAACAAGCTACAACGCCACCACTCCCGACGCCTTTCTCTCAAATTCTAACCATGATGCTGCTGCACTTCTTCTATTCTGGGAGGTGCATGTCGCGAGGTAGGGTCTTTCGATTCGGGTCCCCTTATTGGGCATCTATTGCAAGGCTGGGCATTCTAAAGTATCCCGAAACCCTGAACGCAACGAAGCGCGATGCGCTGACAAACGCCCCAAAACAACAAACTAAACCCTGCGCCCTACTGAGCACCCCCAGCAAACGTTGTAGCACCCCAACGCTGGACTCAAACATCGATTCCCCGGGCCACCGTATATCCCAGACCCAGCCTCTCAACAGTCAACTCAAGAAATTTACTGAAGTCTTACCCACTTTTGTTTCATCCTAACACAAGAACATGCCCAAAAGAGAGGCGCAACAAACCTCCATCCGAAACCCTACAGCCTACAACTTGGTATGTTCCCCCTGATACGAACAGTCCTTAATGGGGATTATAATCAGGGGTACTAGAACCCTGAACAGCACACCCAAACAGCTCCCTGGGCGTCCATCCTAACCACCCCCCAAAAAACACACACACACACAAACACAAACACAAACACAAACACAAACACAAACACAAACACAAACACACACACACACACACAAACACAAACACAAACACACACAAACACAAACACAAACACAAACACAAACACAAACACAAACACAAACACAAACACAAACACAAACACAAACACAAACACAAACACAAACACAAACACACAGACACACACAGACACACACAGACACACATAGACACACACAGACACACACAGACACACACAGACACACACAGACACACACAGACACACACACACGCGCACACGCACACGCACACGCACACGCACACGCACACGCACACGCACACGCACACGCACACGCACACGCACACGCACATATATATATATATATATATATATGCATCCTTCCCCAGCTTCTTTAAACCCTAAACCCTAGACCCTAAACCCTAACCCTAAACCCTAAACCCTAAAACCCTAAACCCTAAACCGACTTCCACAGCTTCTGGGGGCCCCCTTCGCCGCGCGCCTCGAGTTTCACCCCGGGACCGTCACGAGAGGCTTCCGAATCCTGTTTTCTTGGCTGCACTTAGGAGGGTTTAGGGTTTAGGGTTTACCTGGACCCTCCAGGGGACTAAAATATTAGTCGTTGGTTGGAAAAGCATGAATTTAAGTCGCTGCTCAGGAAATTCGTTCTTCGATGAAAAAAGTGCTCGTGCCATGTTTGGGCAAAGCGTGGCAAAGCAGCGGTCGGCAAAAAGCGCGTTTCGGCCGGGAAAGAGCGCGTTTCGGTCGGCAAAGAGCGCCGTCACCAAACATGAGCCCATGTCTCAGTCTGCAATAGTCCCGAAAAACGCTCGAGAACAGAAATTTTCGTTCTCGGACGCGAAAAAACGGTTATCTTCAAAAAAACAGATATTTTAGCCTCCTCGGCATCTCCAGGTAGGGTTTAGGGCCTTATTCAGAAACCCAATAAACCCAAAAAGGCTAAGGATCTAAAGTTACAGTAAAGCACCACAAAGTTTTGGGGTGCTTTGAGGGCTGCGGAGCCTTGGGGACTGTCAGGGTTTGGGGTTTGGGGTTTGGGGGTTTGGGGGTTTGGGGTTTAGGGTTTAGGGTCTGCAGGGCTCAGGGTTTCGGGCTGCGGGTTCGACGGCCTCCAGAAATATGCTGGGCTCTTATCAGTCGCTTTTCTTCTTTTCGGAGTTCATGAGCCCCCTCCCATCCCCCCCAAGGAAAATTTAAAAAAAAACAACGAACTTACAAGAATCCTAACGCGGACTATCGCCTGGCTGGATGTGCACGTATAAACGTATTCGATGCACGAAAATAAACCCATCTACAACTGTCTGATTGTGCACTTTGTGGTTTAAACGGGCTGATACGGGAACCTGAACCCTAAAACAGTGAACAAGGGCTTACTCTGGCAGTGGGTCTTTGAAACGGAGAACACTTTCTGGAAGAGAAAGGTGTGGAGAATTAGGATACAAGTAAGATTATAGGATACAAGTAAGATTAGCTGGACTTTATGGGTTTAGGGTTTCTAAGGGGATTGCTGATCAAGAGCCAGATGAGCAGTTTTGTTGTTCATTTCCATGCGGAATATGCCTTTGGCCAAGCAATAAGCAATGGTGCCTTATCAGAATTTGCGCGTTGAGAAAACGCTTTTGCTGGTAAACAACGCAAAACATCATCATTGCTTTGATTGCGACGTCCTGAATCCCAAACATTGCAAGAACCCTGTTGAGCATATTTCCCCCGCCATCACCCTTCACATAAACTTAGTTGTCCGGTAACCTGGGGGACTAAAAGGGGATGAGAATACCCCAAAAAGGTCAAAGGTTACCTACTCTACGAGCAGTGAAATTACGGGAGTTGAAAGTTAATTCATCTGCAAGCCAACCATGTCTACCATCATCGCACCAAGCCGGTCATGAATGCTCGCCTGAATACCCTGGCAGCTGACTCTACCAATAGCAGGAAGGGTTTAGGGTTTAGGGCTTGGCTCACACATTCTCCTTGGGCATATGGGTGCAGGGTCTTTGGGGCGACACGAAACCGCGGACCTTGCACAAGGTACAACATGTCAACAAGCAAATGCTGCTGCGTAGAGTGAGCCGCTCAGTGGCCCACGCATCTTGCATCTGGCCTTTTGACCCTACACCCGCTAAACCCTGAACGCTAAACCCTAACCCCCTCAACCCTCAACCCTCAACCCTCAACCCTCAACCCTCAACCCTCAACCCTCAACCCTCCACCTAAACCCTAAAACAAAACCCTAAACCCCCCTCATCCCTAAACCCTAACCCCCCCCCCCGGGAAAAAACAAAAACGTACAAGCAACCATGAACCCTAACCTTAAAACCTAAACACTAAACCCTAAACCCTAAACCCCTGCAACCTCCAACCCGGCCTGCGAGTCGCGCCGATTTGAGATGCGACGGGTCTCGGGGTGCACCTTCTGCACAAGGCCTCGGGAATACTTGTGTGAGAGGGGCTTAGGGTTTAGGGTTTAAGGTATGCGGCCCTCTACTCCAGGAACCGCCCCCGAATCAAAACTGGCACACCACCCTTGTACGAGTGGGAAATGGGCAAGCGGCCCGGGGTGAACCCTAAACCCCAAACCCCAAACCCTAAACCCTAAACCCTAAATCCTAAACCTAAACCCTAAACCCTAAGCCCTAAACCCTAAACCCTAAACCCTAAACCCTAAACCCTATAAACCCTAAACCCTAAACCCTAAACCCTAAACTAAACGCGGGTTAAGATCTGGGTTTATGGCTCCATCAGGGGTTCACGCGGGTTAGGCTTTGGTGACGCTTGGGCTCCAATCGACAGTTTGGGATTCAGGGCTGGGGGGGGAGGGTTGCGGGAGGTGGCCCTTCTGCAAGAGATGCTTGGGTTCAGGATTTCGAGCCAAAACCCTAAACCCTAAACCCGAAACCCTAAACCCTAAACCCTAAAGGTGTCATGTCTGGTGTTCGCCGGATGTCTGCAAAACAGGCTTAGCGGTTCAACCGTCTCACTCGCCGTTCTGAAGCAACAAATTGCAGCCCAAATCTCGACCGACCACATTTCTTAAGCATTCTTGGGGTAAAGGGTATACCTTAAGATCCCCTTCTTGCTCTCGGTTTCCTAAGAATCGTGCAAGGGGTGTGAAAACAAGAGCCTACCAAAAAGTAGGTTTTGGTCATTAAAATAACAACAATAATTATAATGATAATGAAAAACATAATAGAAATAATAATAAGAAGAAGAATAGGAAGAATAACAATAATGATAACAAAAATAACAATGACAATAAGAGGAATAATAAGAATAACAATAAGAACCTACAAAATGAAGTAGGTTTTGGTCATTAGGGGGCGTAGGGCCTGATGATGCGTTCCAAGCTGCCGTAGCCTTGCCGAAGCTGGGGGTGCAACTGTGCAAGCTCCTGTGTCGGATTTCGGGTTTAGTTTAGGGCTTAGGACATGTCTCGACCCCCCACCTGAACTGCACTTCCTCCACGCCGTAGCCCTGAGCCCTGACCCCCAGATTGGGGTTTAGGGCTTACGGTTCGAAACCCCCACCGCCCAAACTCCAACAACGCGCTCAAACCCGAAATTCCCTCTTGCCCCTGCACGGCCGCCCCCGAACCCATCCCAAGCTAGGTCGGCCCCAGTGAACCCCAGCAAGAGAAGATACACAAACTGTTTTCGGAACATGTTATGCCAGTAAACCCTCCACTCTCAACCTGAAAGCCTTTTCGCCTCCAAGAATCCCCCCCCCCCCGGGCCCCCCCCGCCCCCCCCCCCCCCCCCCCGCCCTGCCCCAAAGGGGTCTTCGAAGCAACAGGAGCCCAACACCCCCATCGCGCTGGGGACTTGGGGGTTCAAAACGACGAGAGATGAACCACCCTAAACCCTGAACCCAGACACCCTGAACCCTCAACCTCAACCCTAAACCCCAAACCCTCAACCCTAACCCCCCCCTACCCTAACCCCCCCCCCCCCCAAAAAAAAAAAAAAAAACACGTTCAACCTTTCAGCCCGCAGCCTGAAGCCCGAAGTCCTAGAACACCCCCTCAATACGAAAACATGCCGACGACGTCAGCTCGCAGAGTCACAATGTGCAAACCCGAAACCCTGAACCCTGAACCCTGAACCCTAAAGCCTAAACCCTAAACCCTAAACCTTATAAACCCTAAACCCTAAACCCTAAACCCTCGCTCCTGTGTCAGCTCTGCTCGGATGTCCAGCTTCGCGGCTTTTTGCTTGCGAGCCTGACAGCCCTCCCTTTTCCCATACACCCCTATGCATAGACCCTATCCCTGCCTATACCACCCCCCTGTGCGGCATAGACCCTATCCCTTTTCCATAGGCCCCTACCCCCGTCCAGATAGACCCCACCCACAAACCCATAGACCCCTATGGTAACAAACTGCATAATCAATCTTCTGGCAGACCACGTAAACGGTTCTGAAACTCCAGCTTACGATTCTTCAAGCTTATCTGACCCTTGCTGAGAACAACACCGGATTGCTCCTGCTTCTCCACATCAGCGATGGCATTCAATCGGGACAGGAAGTAATGTCGCTTTTCAGCAATCGAAGAATGCTCTGATGGCTTTTGAACTCCTGCCCCTGCAGCTGGTACCGGAACTTTTGGAATTCCTTCCGATGGCTGTGAGGCAGTACAATGAGCAGGGTTCTTCTGTCCATCAAAAGAAGTCGCTTCTGTTCCGTGTAGCCCTGAAGAATCTTGTGAAGGTCCTGCTTCGACGGTAGGCAATGAAGGAAGCTCAAGCTTTTGTTTGGGAGATGGGGTCCGGATCCGATCAACCTCCTCCTCCTCCTGTGTCCTGGCACGAACGTCCAAAGTCGCTGCAAGCGCAACAAAAGCGTCACCCAGAGCCTCCGATGGAATCGAAGCGGCAAGGAAGTAATTAGACAAAGAGCGGTAAGGGTCTCGCGCACTTACTGGAACAGAATGTGTGGACCCGGCCTACATTGAACGAAAACGGCACAAGCTCCTCCTCATCATGCACCGAATCTGCATGCTTCACCTGGAAACCGTCCGGGAATCTGGGATGCGGTCCAATGTTCAAAGAGACTGACATCCCTTTCAAGCCACACAAAGTGTCTGCGTCACCAACGCCAAGAGCATGATCAACGCCGGCCTTCAAGGCATCTGAAAGGTAAGCATCAGGGACAGTAACAACCTTCCTTTCTTGAGTGCCGCGGTCACCCGCTAAAAATGAACACCGCAGTTTTCGCTTGGCAGTATCGTAGCTTTCGATACGAGCCTGTTGTCCAGAAGGCAGAGACAAACACGCCTCAGACACAGCATCAGGCTCTTCAGCAGCCACTGGCTTTTCAAACGAAAAACTGCGAGGAACTTCAGTTTCAGCGGGGCCGCAGCACCGTCAAAAGTGAGCCTTCCAGGAATCAGCCGTCTCCTTCCAAACCAAAGGGACAGCTTGCATGCAGCTCTTGAAGTATGCCCCATGCGGACGTGTGACTTGCTGCAAAATACTATCCAAGAGGCGGCATTCATTGGCTTCCGACTTGATCTCCGTGAGATGAACATTGAGGGCTACTCCCTGCCGAGGAACAGCAAAGATGCCCGTCGTTCCATCAGAAGACCTTCCGATGTGGCATCCCTTGACCGGGCCAGAAGATCCTTGAGGGTAGTACAAAACGGCGGAGCCACTATTACCAGACTGACAACGGGCACCTTTGTCATGGACACCAAAGATTACCTCAGACGACGGTTTTGGCGGAACTGTCGTTGAGGCATCGCCGTAGCATGGCGTTGACGTATAGCACGCAAACTCACCAACCACTGGCTTTGACGTCGCGGCCTCCATTCCTGAAGAGTTGACATACCCCTTGTCCGTAGAAAGGAAAACCAAGCCATCGTTCAGGCCCTCAACGGCAGAACTAACTGGCGCCCGGAAGACTTTGGCCTGGAACTTCCTGGCCCCTGCCAGATACAAGAAATTTTCGCCGTCTGACAACTGTGGAATTCGCCGTTCGGACCGGTGAAGGAATGACAAGGAGTGACGAAAGTGCTCACAGAATCATAGGTGCACGACGAAATCAATGTGCCGCAAGCCCGAACTGCCATGAGACCAGTAGTCTGGCGTTGGCAAGCAGCAATTCTATCGATCTGCTTGTCGGACGCATCAGGAAGCGCTTGCTTGATCGCCTCTCTGGCAACTGTCTGAAGAGCACCCGCATCCATAACCAGCGCTGACTGCTGATCAACACCTAGCTGGAATGCTTGGAACATCTCCCTCAGTTCTTCAGAAATGACGCCCTTCTCCAAATCCAATGAAACAGAATCACCTGCCCCTTTGATCCGCAAGCCAGCATCAGCCCGAGACTGCAGTGGCCCGATGGTGCGCAGAGCTTGCAAGAGAGAAGCACTGATATTCTTGCTGGTGGAGTCTTCAACCATCAAGTAAACAAAGAATGAAATAGAAGTCGCAACAGGGTTCCGGCAGATGATGATGAAGACGATGAAAGCCGTCGAGTCAGCCCTTGTGTCAGAGAAGGCCGCCCGGAAGAAGCCTTGAATGATACGAGGTTGAATCTTGCCGGCTTCTGTAACAAAGAGGGGTGTACCAGAAAGCTGACTCACAAGCAAAGCAGTAACAGAAACATGACGCGCAAAAAGTGCAACAGCGGAAATGACCAACATAAAAGAAAAACTAATCTTAAATTTGGGCATGCCAACACCCCTCCTGACAAGATTCCAGCCAGCCATCAAAGATTGGAAGTCTGTGCTCGCATAGAGTATCTGACACACAATGCCGGAACGCGCCTCTCGCCTGACGTACAGCTCAGTCGTCGCAGACAAGTGGGTCATCAGAGCTATACGATTGGTAAGAGTTGCCCGTGTGGAAGTATAAGAGCCAGCCACTGTATAAAACGCTCCAAGGGCGGAACATATCACCATCACCCAGGAATTGGAGGTCGCCCGGGACACACCCGTGTTGAAGAGCATCAGACCTGACAGAGCGTACTCCACAGGGGAAGGAGCAATGCCAGCACGGACGTTGAAAAACGAAACAAAGTACATGGCAAGCTGAAAGAACCCCCAGAAGTTGCAGGAAACCGCCGCAATGTCAAAATAAACAAGCGAAACCAATACCGCCAACACAGTAAGAAATGCAACTAATCTCGGCCGAAATGCAGAAATCACCCCCAACAGAAGACAACAAAAGCGGCACCGTCTCCATCACATAAAGCAAGAAACCAGCTGCGAAAGGACTTTTTCCCTTTGACTGTCAGATTGGTGAAGGCTTTGCGGGACTCCTGGCCGAGCATCTCCACGATATCTCCTGGCCACTGGCTACTAAATCCCCAAACCCAACCCGAAGCCCTAAACCCTAAACCCTAAACCCTAAAACCGAAACCCTAAACCCTACACCGTGATATTCAAAAAACTCTATTGGAACTTAGCACTCTTACAGGTCCTTCGTTGCCCGTCAGGTTCTCCCGTGCATCGGCCACTGTCAGCAAATCTTCTTCGCTCAGGGTTCGAAGGAAGCATCTCAAATCATTCCTTAGGTAATTGATTGAAAGGAAGCCTCTACTCGAAAAAAAAACCGTTCGGGAGAAGGCAATCGCGATTACGAGCACTAGGCTGCGCAACTCGGCGAACCCAGCGAGACATGGTCATGCCTTGAACCTCATCGAGATTCAGCTCAAAGACCTCAAGAGAAGAGATTCCAATTGAGCTGAACAAGGGATCCCATCTCATCAAAAGACTCTTGGTTTCCAGACAGCTAGTGCCTACATCAAGCGCTTCTGCATAGGAAGTGGCTTCCTGGCACGCCTTTCGGTTGAGCTTCTCTGCTTTCTGCTCCCTGGAGGCAACACGTGTAAACTTGGCAGAGAAGTTGCCGAGCTCAAAGAGGTCTCCAAAGAACTCAATCGGAGGCGAAGAGACATCCTCAGTTGAGTCCTGCGTCACCTGCAAGCAATGCGAAAAGCACTGAAGCGTACATCCAGCCTCCATCATGAAGACAAGACATGAGTCCGTCTCACGATCACCCCGTTCAAATCCGAAGTCCGGAAGCTGGATCGAGTACACGTGAAGCTGCCTCTCCAGCGTTGAAGGGGAAAATAGCTTGGAGGCCGGAACACTACGGTCCCGATCAGCGGCCGCTGTGAAGATCTGCATCGTCGGAGAGTAAGATTCCTCAATTTGCCACTCTGCAGGCAGTTGCAACAGTGTCTCTTGGCTCCGACTTTTGCAACGCGCACCATTGATATCCGGCCCTCTTTGCAATCTTCCATCCGCGGCGTCAGGGTGTTGTGTCGCAATCTCCCTAACAGACGAACACCTGACAATGGACAATTGCGTCACTGTGTCGCTGTCAGTGACACAAGTCCCGTCACCTCCGGCAATCAAATCCGCGATAGGATCAGTCGACGCTTGAATCATCAACGGGGCCTGGGCAAGGCCAAAGACTGGCCGCGCCGACTTCACCTTGAGCACTGAGTGGTATTCAAGTCCAGAAGAGGGAGATTTCTTAGGAATGACAGATCCGAACCAGAGGTTGCAACCTGAAATCTGTACTTCAAAGGAGAACGGAGCAAGAGAGGAAGTGCGGACAGTGGTCACGTAGGTCCCTGTCGGGGAGTTATGCACTGGAGCTGCTCCGGCGACTACTTTCGTACCATCATCATTGCACACACTTCCCGAACCAGCTGGCGTCGCTTTGTTGATCTGCAGAATTCCTTGGAAGCTCGTCCGGAGCTCGTCAACTGAATAGTCGCGACTTCCCTTCAGCATAGACCAGAGCACTCCATCCAGCGTCCCATGCTCTTTTCCTACTGAAAGAAGAGCTGCTGCAAACTCCTCCTTCGTGATCCTGCAATCCGCATTTGCGTCGAACCTCAAAGGATTGTTGACAGAGATCAGACCAGGCAATGTGCCGGAGAACGCCTGATAGGACAGAGTGAAAGAAGGACAACTGTCCGCAGAAGAAGTGACAACCGCATCGGGAGGCGGCAAATGACCGGCAAGATAGTCACCTTCAACTTCATATCCGGCCAACTGCTTGCATGTCATCGGAGTTGAAGAACCCGGAACATACAAAATGCCATCAGACAACGACAAAGTGCCAGATGAGGAGATGGCAAAGTCGGATGTCCGAAGAGGTCGCAAGACAGGAGTGAACTCTTGTGCACTAACGGAACCCGGAAACAAACGTCCAGGAGCACCAGACGAAACGCCGGTAGTCAGAACGCAACGAGTGCGATACAGACCAAAGATGCCCTGCATTCTGAAATCCGAACTGAAGAAAATCAACTCATCATCAACAAGTCCCTCAGTACGAACTGTAAGAGGTTCAGCAGAAAAGTCATCAAGAGCCTGGACACAAGGGGAGCGAGAGAAGAAGCTTCATCGCTGCGTGAGGCTGGCACCTTCCACAACGAACGAAACTCCCGCTACAAGCTACTCCTTGAGCCAAAAAGGGATTAGGGTTTCTTCTTGGGTTTAGGGATTAGGGCTTATTTGCAAACACAACACTCACATGATGGCTTCGAAAAAGAATAAAGCGGGGGGGGGGGGGGGGGGGGTTGGGGGCCCCATTTGCACAGACAATGCTCGCATGATGGGTTTGAAACAAACAAGTGCCTATGTTTAGGGGCTTGTAGGGTTTTGGGTTTAGGGTTTTTGACGGATTGGATTCATTAGGGTTTAGGGCTTAGGGGTGTAGGGGTTAGGGTTTGAAGTTGAGGGTTTTTTCAGGGTTTAGGGTTTTGTGGGTTTGGGGCGGGTTTTTAGGGTGTAGGGCTTAGAGGGCTTCGGGGTTTTTAGGGTTTAAGGTTTTTTAGGGCTTAGGGTTTAGGGCCAGGTTTTTGGGGTTTAGGGCTGGCTTTAAGGTTTAGGGTTTTTGTTAGGGATTAGGGATTCTTAGGGTTTTTTTAGGGTTTAGGGTTTGTTGGGGTTTAGGGCCGGATTTAGGGTTTAGGGTCTTTAGGGATTAGGGTTTCTTTTTGGGTTTAGGGATCAGGGTGTTTTAGGGGCTCGGGCTTAGGGTTTAGGGTGTAGGGACTCAGGGTTTAGGGTACAGTTGTGAGGCGACGAAGGAAGGGACGGATAGGACCCTATCGGAAAGGCATAGGGGTCATGCCGCGGATAGGGGTCTCTGTCTGGGCTATGCCCCCCTATATACAGACCCCTAGCCTTTCCAGGCAGGGCCCACCAGACATCATGTTAATCAAGGAAGTCGACCTTCCGTCGATGACCTGATGACCATCGTTCCCGAGGGTGGCAAGGGCATGGCCGATCGCAGAGACAGGCAGGCTTTCAACCTCTTCGTCAGTCAGAGCACCAAATGGGGTGCACCCGGTCCTGAGAAAGCTGGACTCATCGAAGGGTATCGCAGCCGGTGCCCTGTCCACGCGGACTTTCTTCACCACTGCATCCATGCATCGACACCAACCGCAGGCAAAGCGGCTTGAGCCAAAATGGTTTAGGGTTTAGGGTCTTTTTTGCTTCAATAAGAAAGTTGCTTGCCGGGCCTGGAGGTTCTTCCTGAACTCGAGGAGCCTCTCGAGCAGCTCCCTGATGGCATCTTCCTGGCTCTGCTTGTTTTGCCCCTTAGAACCTTTAGGGTTTAGGGTTTAGGGTTTAGGGTTTAATTCTTTTGGGCAGAAAAAATTAGAATTAAACACGAGAAACAATTCAGTATCCCCCCGGGTGTTCTGCAAATACATCTCTCAACAATCAGTTCCTAAGGGGGCTATAGTCTTCTGCCCATGAAGCTCGGGGCTCAGCGAGTTTGGAGCGGAAGCCCTCGACCCTCAACCGTCTCCTTTGCCCCCCCCAAGCTAACTTTAAAGAAAGGGGCAGACGAGAAAGCACGAAAAACCACACCCCCTAAACCCTAAACCCTTTGGGCAACGGACTAAACCCAAAACCCAAAACCCTAAACCCTAAATGTCCATAGGAGCTCCCTCGGCACAACCCCCTAAACCCAGTGAACCCTAAGCCCGAAGCCCTAAACCGTAAACCTTAGACCCCAAGCCCTAAACCCAGTGAACCCACGAGGCGTTGGGGTTTTAGTGTTCTTGGGTTGAGGGTCCAGTTTGAACCTAAACCCTAAACCCTAAACCCTAAACCCTAAACCCTAAACTCTAAACCCTAAACCCTAAACCCTAAACCCTAAACCCTAAGCCCTAAACCCTAAACCCCCTAAACCCTAAACCCTAAACCCTAAACCCCAAACCAATAGAGTTTTCCCAGCGAGGTGCCGAGGGAAGCCGCAGTGGGCAAAAAGGAAAGGTCTAGGGTCTGCTTGGAGGCTCGTAGTACTTATTAACCAATTCGAACTGTACCTATATCTGTACTTACAACCATATTAGGGCACTTAAGGGGCTTATAAGTGCAGTTAGAATTGGTTAATAAGTACCATGAACCTTCAAGTGGGCTTTAAGGGAGAAGGAAGCTGGCATGTAGGGCTATAGGGCTTCTAGGCCTCCTGGCCTCAACTCCACACCGTCCCTCCACCCTCCACCCTCCATCCTACCCAAAGGCTCCAATGTAGTTCCTTTTTGGGCTGGTTATCGGAGATTCTAGGTATGCTACACCAAGAAGACTTTACACAGCAGCCTTTGGGAAAACTTGAAGCCCTAAGCCCTGCAGCCGCAATGCTCAACTCTTCAGGTCAATGCTCTCAAACCCTCAACCATGCCCAGGTAGCGGAGATGAATTGCCACGCTTCCTCGCCCTGCATCTGGCTCTTCCGCCTCCTCACATCTCAAGTCCAGGCTTCAGTTTAGGGTTTAGGGTTTGGGGTTTAGGGTTTCGGGTTTCGACTCTCACACTCGCACGAGGCCGGCAAGGCATGGGGTGGGAGGTCGGTGGTTTAGGGTTCGGGGTTTAGGGCTTTTGGGTATAGAGTTGAGGATGCCTTCTATAACCCTAAACCATAAACCCAAAAGCCTGAACCCAAAACCCTGAATCAGAGGTGTATGGGGAAACTTGCGCATGTGACCGTGTTCCGACGATGTAATGACCAACGCAGTGGGGGGCTGCGGAGGGAGGGTTTAGGATGTAGGGTTTAGGGCTTAGGGTTTTGGGGGTTAGGGTTTACGTAGTCTTTTCTAAAAGGCTTCTTAGCAGTTCCTTTTTGGGGCTTCAGGTAGGTACGCTGCAACTGCTTCGAGCTCCTCTTCACTATGTCAGGGTTGCATGCTCCAGACCCAAGAATAACCCAGGATGAAAAAGGGTGCCCTTTTTGGCTCGACAGTTCGAGAGTGTTGCACCTACCCTAGCTGCCCCGTACAAAGTCACATAGCATGCTTTATCGGACCTGCACCCCTTTTGTCCTGACACGAAAACGCTGCGTCACAGATAGCCCAGAGCATGACGTATCTCCTGGACGGCTTCGTACATGTCCGGAGCTTGCTCCAGGACAGCTCTGGTGTTTCGTTCGCAGTCCTCACTGTTGGTGTGGTTTATGCCTGCAGAAAGGCCGTTCTCGCCCCTGTGAAGATCTTCATGCTTGGCCAGTTCACGGATGTGCTCGTGCTCCTCTTCAGTGAGAAGATCTCCGAACATGAAGTCCTGGGGCCAAGGCCGACTACAACTGCCTGGCCTTACTACTCGTGCTACCTGTGTAGCTGCTTACTTGCCTGTTGAGCAAATTATGTTGTATCCTACATACTTGCCTAGTTGCGTAGATCGCGGCATATTTGAGCTGTAGAGTGAGAGCGAGCGCGCAAGAAAGACAGAGAGAGAGAGAGAGAGAGAGAGAGATAGAGAGCACAGGGAGAGCAAGAGAGTGAGAGAGAAGAGAGCAAGTGAGAATGCCATGGAGAAAGCGATTCGAGAGCCACAGAGAGAGAGCACGAGAGACAGAGCAGAGAGAGAGAGAGAGAGACAGAGAGAGAGAGAGAGAGCAAGAAACAGAGAGAGAGAGAGAGACAGACAGAGATCAAACAGAGAGAGAGAGAGAGTCAGAGGAAAACAAACACACAAAACATCAGATGCGGCTACTAAACCCTAAACCCTAAACCCTAAACCCTAAACCCTAAACCCTAAACCCTAAACCCTAAACCCTAAACCCTATCCCCTGGCCAGGGAGCGAAGAGCGTCTTGACATGGACATCGAAACTGTCCGATGAGTAGCTGAGGTCCTCGAAGCGAGAGTTGTAGGTGTCCCTGCCCGAGTTCTGGTAGATCTCTAGCCTTGGTTGGCCTAGGGTTTAGGGTTTAGGGCTTAGGGCTTAGGGCTTAGGGTTTAGGGTTTAGGGTTTAGGGTTTAGGGTTCAGGGTTTAGGGTTTAGTGTTTAGGGTTTGGAGTGTAGAAGGGAATAGAGAATTAGGTACCTTACATCCCGCGATAGAACTCTTTAAGGACTTCTAAACGGCACACGCTTTCCCAGATTCGCTACTGAGACCGAGTAAGTTAAAGCACCTGAGCAACGTTCTTGACAACATGCTCTTACACACAATAAGGGAGAAAATGCAACATTTTCCAAAGGCCCACATATCTTGGCTGCACTCAGGAGGGTAGCTATAAATTAAACTTTTAGCTGCCTTAAGAAGAAACCCAATAAACCCAAAAAAGGTAAGGATCTAAAGTTACAGTAAAGTACCACAAAGATATGTGACATAGCAGCATGTCGCGGAAGACCACCATCATTCCTGGGAAGAGGTCGCGCATGCCCTCGAGCGGGCCCATGGTCATAATGTCGGGCCAGGTTGCAATGGGATTCCCTGGCTCTTCCTTGGGGACCGAAGGAACCCCAAAATTGAGGGGTCATATTACCCTATACCACCATACCTCCTATTAAGGGTATATGAACCCTAAACCCTTTTAGGGTTCGTTTCCCAAGGTTCATCATCTTACCCTATACCACTATACCTCCTATTAAGGGTATATGAACCCTAAACCCTTTTAGGGTTCGTTTCCCAAGGTTCACCGCGGTGGTGGTAGCAGTATGCAGATGCCAGCATGGCCTTTGGGTCCCGAACCGTTTGGACAACTTTCAGTCCAGCCGCACCGGCGAGTTGCCGATTCCTCTGCCTGGTTCACGGCTGGGATGGTATTAAGAACCTAAACTCGTAACCCTAAACCCTAAACCCTAAACCCTGAAAATGACAAATGCTACCCCACTATGACACAAAGTTGCAGGGTGTCTAGGGACATGGTGTTGTCAAAGTGGATGCGGCAGTCTGGGGACAGGAAGCACTTGTGCCGGCCACCCGCCGTAGTGATCGTTGCACGTTGCGAAAGCTCCTCCTGGCAGGAGTAGTTGGCTCCAAGATAGTCAAAGGCCCACTTCATGGTGTTTCGTGTGAGCTGGCTTCCTGCTTTATGGTGAGTCCCTACGAGGTAGAAGTGCGTGTCCCACGGTCTGCTTCTGTTGGGTGTCTCAAGCGCCCGGGAGTGTATATGGAGGCCATTCTGCAGCAGCAAAACCTGCTGGGCACAGGCGTCATCGCACGCAGCTGCCATGGCCAGAAGCACTATGCTGCAGAGATGGTACCTGAGTTGCGCTTCCAACCCTGCAAGCATCCAAAAACAAAACGCGCGTCGAACCCCAAGAAAACAAACCCTAAACCCGGCCTCAAGAACCCAACACCTACTTTGTTTGTAGGTGCTTGGAATAAAAACCCCTGCTAGGAGTCTTGGTGAATCCTACAAACAAGTAGGTGTTGGGTTCCTAAGGTGTACCCTAAACCCTAAACCCTAAACCCTAAACCCAGCTGCAAGGCCGCTGCCATGGCATCAAAGTATGGAGGGAAGGTTCGGTGGGTCGTTTGCACTCTGAGAGCCAACAGCCAACGAAGCTCTGACAGGAGGGAGGGTTTAGGGTTTCGGGTTTCGGGTTGAGGGTTTAGGGTAGTTCCATGGTCCCTTAGCACAGGCTCCTTACATGGGGGGGACCCCTTTATAAATCCCTTACAGACCCTATAAAAACAAATACTTCAGAACCCCCGAAAAAGGAAAGGCCATACTAAGGGATCATGAAACTACCCTTAGAAGTTTAAAAGCAACCCTGAACCCCGAACCCTAAACCCTAAACTCTGCACCCTGAATCCTGGACCCTAACCCTAAACCCTAGACTTCGGAACCCTAAACCCTAAATCCTAAACCAAGCTCCAAACGGCTTAGGGTGCAGGGAGCTGGAGGCCTTTCGGGGGGTGTCGGGATTGCCCATCTTTGCAACTGGGCTGCAGGACTGCCCAGACTCCGAACCCTGTAAACCCTGTAAGCCCACATATATACATATACATATGTATATATATATATGTGTGTGTGTGATATATATATATATATATGTATATGTATATGTGTGTGTGTATATGTACATATACATCTTTTTTATAATCATATATTAAAATAACAAGAGCTAGAGGAATAGTAATACTGCCCGGCAAGAAAAGCCTCGAGATTCGAAGCTCCCCGCCCCCCACCCCCCCCCCCCAACACACCCCAAAGCAACAACAAAAGCAAACCTACAACCCAAAGCCCAATCCCCAAACCCCAATCCCCAAACCCTAACCCCCTCCCCCCCCCCCCCAAACTTGTCGAAGGCAAAGGGGCCCAGTCTCCATCTTCAGCTGAGACTTCACCGTCTTCATGGAGCGCAACCTCACTGGGCTACCAGCCTATTAGCCCGGGCTTTTCTAGGGGAATTACTTCGGGTTTAGGGTTTAGGGTTTGGGGTTTGGGGTTTAGGGTTTCGGGTTCAGGCTTCAGGGTTTAGGGCTTTTCTAGGGTGGTTACATGGGTCCCTTCGTATGGGCCCTGAAATGGGGATCCCTTATAACATACCCTTTGGATACCCAATCCAAGCCAAGGGCCCGTACGTCCGAACCCTTTCAAGGAGGCCAGGGACCATACTAGGGTTTAGGGTTTAGGGTTTAGGGATTAGGGGTTTAGGGTTTAGGGTTTAGGGTTTACTAAGGGCCCATAAAACTGCCCTTAGAGGCTCTCAGGCTCAAGGCTCCCTTGTAATGCCCTTCTTATGGCATTTTAAGCCCTAAACCCTAAACCCTAAACCCTAAACCCTAAACCCTAAACCCTAAACCCTATCATTGAAGTTACAAGGATGGAGGCAGACCTGACAGTCGACATCGTCGGATGGTGTGCGAGTCTCTTCGGGCGATGTGGCTCACAAGCAATGCCCACAACGTGCCGGTTGGATTCGGGTTTAGGGTTTAGGGTTTAGGGTTTAGGGTTTAGGGTTTAGGGTTTAGGGTTTAGGGTTTAGGGTTTCGGGTTTCGGGTTTAGAGTTCAGGCGGATAACCCCCCCTAACCCCCCGACTTTTGCTCGGAAGGCACTGCTATGCTGCAACGCGAACCCTACCTACCGCTAAGCCCTAAACCATAAACCCCCCCTAAGCCCTGAACCCTTAACGTTAAACCCTGATTAAAGCCGTCTAAACCCTATAAAACCTATACGCCCTATCAAACCCTATATGAAGCCTAAAAATCCTAGAAGCCCGATGAAGCCCGGTTCCGAAGGCCGGGAGGCATGTCGTGAAGAGTCCCGGCGTCATTGCGGGAGAGGAAGAATCGGCCACTCTCCCCCAGGCTCTTCATCTCCTAGACCAGCATGTGGACGAAGACTTCTTGAGGGGTTTAGGGGTTTAGGGGCTTAGGGTTTAGGGTTTAGGATTGTTTCACTTACTTCAGGGTCCCCTTTCTGGGGTCCTCTATATAGAACGGCCCCCAAATCATGACAGGAGTGAGAGTTTTGGGTTTTGCTTGCCGCCCGCCTGGGTGGTCAGACCTCACAAAGGAGCCAATACGCCCTCCCTCGTCCCTAAACCCTAAACTATACTGAACTTGGAACCATAGCAAAAATTATAACTTTCGCTGTTTCTTAATTAATAATTCAAGTACCCAAAATTAACATTTTTCCAAGTATCCCAAAAGAAACCCTAGACGCTAATACACACATCCAACACACAAGTCTCAGCCGCGGCTCCTTCTCCATCTCGGGAACGAGAAACCTCGGTATTCATGCGTGAACTGCCCCCCCCCCCCCCCCCCCCACCAACCCCTAAACCCTGAACACTAACCCTAAACCCTGAACCCTAAACCCTGAACCCTAAACCCTAAACACCCCAAACCCTAAACCCTGACGCAGTTAAGAGAGGGTCCGCTTGTTAAGTACCATTTGGGATGTTCCCCCCCCCCCCCTCTCTTGCACTTAGCCCCTTAAGTGCCCTAATATGGCTCTTAGTACAGTTATGAGTAAGTACAGTTATAACTACCATGAACCTCCAAGTACGATTTGGGATGTTCCCCACTTGCTACCACTTGCTTAAGAGCCCACAAAAACAGAAATGTTCTTCCTAATTATAAGGGTAAAATAGGGATCGTTGTCTTTTTTGTTTTTTTGGGGGGTTCTTAAGCAAATAGTAGCTGGTACTAACAGTCCTAAAATGACTGTTTGTATAAGGGGGCACATCCCAAAGTACGATTCTGGAAGAAGGCGGCAGGCACCAAAATACTCTATGCAGGCCTTACGCGGCAGCCCTAAACCCTAAACCCAAACCCTAAACCCTAAACCCCAAACCCTAAACCCTAAACCCTACGGCAAATTCTTTGGGGCGGGGGGGGAGGGGGGGTCCTATAAGCTCCCCTAAAACACCCTGAACCCTATGTCAGCCTAAACCCTAAACCCCAATTAACCCCCAGACCCTAAACCCTAAACCCCAAACCCTACACCCTAAACCCTAAACCCTAAACGTAAGTGGCCATCATCCCATCCCAGGGGCGCCCAGGGGTTCAGGTTCGACTGCGCGCGGAGCTCCGGCCCAGAGTACACCCAGGCCTCCGCCCAGTACTTGGCCTTGGTTTAGGGTGTAAGGTTTAGGGTTTAGGGTTTAGGGTTTAAGGTTTAGGGTTTAGGGGTTAGGGGTTAGGGTATCTACGTATACATAGTCGGGGAAAAGACTTGGAGGAGCTGAAGAACCCTAAACCCTAAACCCTGAACCCTAAACCCTAGGCAAAAGGGCTCTACCCCCTGGTTCATAGCAGGGAATGGGGGAATGAGGTACCCTACTTAACCCTTAAAGGGTTTATATAGGGGGATATGTAGAGGTCCCCTCTCTCTCTCTATATATATATATACCCTTTAAGAGATTATGTAGGGTACCTCATTCCTCATTCCCTACTAAGAACCGGCAAGTTTGGGTGCCACTGGGCTAGCAAGGTTAAGAAGCCTCCTCCATCCTGATCCTCGTCCAGCACCTTGGCACTGTCATTCTAACCACCCGCCGCACAGATACCTCGATCGCATACAAAACTGGGTTGGCCGTTAAACCCTTGGAACGTGTTTTTTGATATAGGGTCCCTTATCAAGCTAAATAGGGAAAAAATAAAATATCCCCAAAACCAACCACGAAAAGCCAAGTGGCCGTGATTGCAGTCACAAGACCTGCGTGCAGGCCGGCGCAGTCGAGGCGAAACTTAAAGTGTGGGCTCATTCTGCATGTTCCCAAAACCCTAAACCCTAGCCCTAAGCCCTGAACCCTAAAACCCATGATTCTAGCCGATACGCCCTTTTTATTTGGCGTTTGTGGTTTTGAACCCTAAAACCCTAAACCCCGCACCCTAACCTAGCCCCTAAACCCTTAAACCCTCAACCCTGAAAAAACATAAATCCCTAAAACAGAGCCGCAAGACAGTTGATGTTGTAGGCCGTCGGATCCTGGATTATCAGCGGTATCAACGAGCTCACAACATCTATACCTCAAGAACCCAAAACCTGCTTTGCAGGCTACCCACGGTTTGGGGCACAAAGTATTTTCGCATCAGGTTGCCCCAAAAACTCAGAACCTTTGAAGTCACGGAAGCAATTCCGGGCTGGACTTTCCAAACCCTTAAACCCCAAGCCGACACCCCCCGCAACCCTGAACCCTGAACCCTGAACCCTAAACCCTAAACCCCCCCGACCCCAAACCTCCCACCACCCCACACCACACCATGATGTTACCCTCTGCACCCGTCCAGAGGGACCCCCCACCCACGTACAGAACCCAGGGCCCCTGAAGTTCTGGGTTAAGGGTTTAGGGTCTAGGGTTTAGGGTATAGGGTTTAGGGTTTAGGGTTCAGGGTGGCATTCTTCGGAAACCCATCGAAGATGAGAAGGCTTTGCGGTTCTTGAGATGAACGCTTTGAGCCCGAAAACGGAATCCCTAGACCCTAAGCGCCTGGAGATCCTAAGCTGCATCCTAAAACCTGAGCCCGAGTTAACTGGAACCCTGAATCCTTGACACTTGAACCCTTATAAGCCCCGTATCCCATTCCTATACGGAACCCCAGCAAAAATTATAAAGTCTTGCTGTTTCTTATGAATTAGAGTACCCAAAATCTTTAAAAACAAATGTTTCCAAGTACCCCTGAGATTCCCTGAAACCCATAACCCGTGACACCACCGCATCTTTGGCCTCGCTGACGACTGCCAGGTACATGCGCTAAGACCCTATTAAACCCTGAATCAAGGATGGGCTGTTGTACTCTAGAAACCCCTAAAAAGGGCCCTGTACAGGATTGATCATGCGGGTTAGAAGGCCTAGTAGCCCACCTCAAACTCTAAACCCTAAACCCTAAACCCCAAACCCCATCCACTTAGTGCCCAAGGTTGTGAAGACCCTAAACCCTAAACCCTAGACCCTAAACTCTAAACTTATAAACCCTAAACCCTAAACCGTAAACCCTAAACCCTAACTCCCTAACCGTTTCCGCACCTTGGAGCACGCCCCGGAGGTCGCGGAGCCTCTCCGTGCGGCGCACCGCCGCATCGCCTCAGGAGCCGAGGGGTTGGGGTTTAGGGTTTAGGGTTCAGGGTTTAGGGTTTAGGGTTTAGGGTTTAGGGTTTAGGGTTTAGAGTTTAGGGTTTAGGGTTTAGGGTTTCGGGCTTAGGGTTTAGGGTTTAGGGTTTGGGGTTTAGGGTTTAGGGCTTAGGGCTTTGGGCTTTGGGTTGAGAGTTTTGGGTTTATTAGGGTTAGAGTAGTGTACTTCTGGAAAGATATTAAAGTTTAGGAATCGCTACACCCTGCGAATTCGCAAGGAAGACGTTGCGCTTTTTTGCGGAAGAGGGGGCGGGGAGGGGCGGTGGGGTTTGCACGGATGGGTGTAGTTTCGGGACTGGCGAGCGCGCAGTGAGTTTGGTGCACAAGCTCTCGAAACCTTGAACCCTAAACCCTAAACCCTAAACCCTAAACCCTAAACCCTAAACCCTTTGAACCAGCGCAAGAGCGAACTAACCTCGATCTGTGTGGCTCAGGAGAACTGGCATCGGACACTTGAATCCTCAATGACCCTAAACATGAAAACTCCAAGTCAGGCGTTTGGGGCTAAGGATCTAGGATTTCGGTTTCAGCTCCCAGAACTCCTACCCCAAAACCACTTCCTTTTGCTCCTACTTCCAGTTCGCCTTGAAGTCTGCCCGAACATGTCTTGGCCCCTAATCACCCCCAATCAACAACTGTAGTTTCGTTTTTGTTCTTGCGGGTGAAGGGGGGTGGGGTACCCGATTTTGTCGCTGTTGTTAGTATCGTAATTCACCATCATACTTCGGAACGCTGGGAGCGGCAGCAATAACTCGGGGGGCTTCGGGCCTGAGTGGGTGAACAAAACGGAAAGCCAGCCCCTGAACCCTAAACCCTAAACCCTAAACCTTAAACCTTAACCCTAACCCTAAACCCTAAACCCTGAACCTGCTGCATCGGTGTGGCTCAGGAGCAGCTGCACGTCCACCACGGAGAAGTTCCTGGACTGCTCGTGTGGAATCGTAGACCAAGGGGTATTACGCTCACAAACCCTAGGCCCTAAACCCTAAACCCTAAACCCTAAACCCGAAACCTGCTATGCATTTCGCAGTAAGCTTCACTCAAAACAAGCCCTCTCAAACCCATCCACAGGCTCGGAGGAAAGTTCATCAAGTCGTCGTCATCCTGCGCGGAAGACATCCCAAGATAGCCACGCATTTATGGGGGTTTCCGAGATTGGGGGTACCTTATTGGGGTCCTTATCATAAGGGAATCCTACTACTTTGGGGGTCTGTTCTAGGGTCCCCTGTTTTCCGAAACCCTCGTTTACTTTTCGGCAAGGCAGACCCTCCCCCGTCCACACGGTGCCAGCCTCCTCTGCTTCATACTCCGCCTCCATGGCCGCTGCCTGAGAACTGCGACTACAAATCTTAAGTGAGGATTTCGACACGGCAGAGAAAGAAATGCTGCACACCTTCCGAAACCAAAAATGACTAAACCTGTACAAGCCATGTGGTAGCTGATCCACATACCTGTTCCAAAAACAACCCCATACTTCCTTGTACAAAAACTCCCCAGAAGTAAGCCCCCATGTCTAGGACAGAACCCTAAACCCTAAACCCTAAACACTAAACCCTAAACCCTAAACCCTAAACCCTAAACCCTAAACCCTAGACCCTAAACCCTAAACCCTGAGGTTAGCCATACGGTCCCTGAATCTGGTCCCTTACCTTCTCTAAAGGGTTCTCAAGTATGGGCCCTTTGGTGCTACAGGGTTTAGGGTTTAGGGTTTAGGGTAGATAAGGGCTACATAACGGGTCCCCTTCTAATGGCCCTGATAGCTACCATGCAACTACCCTAAAAGACCCTTGCTACCCTACACCCTAAGCCCTAAGCCCTAAGCCCTAAACCCTAAACCCTAAACCCGAAACCCTAAACCCTAAACCCTACCTGAAACCCCTGGAACAATACAAACCGCCACCTTTGACCCTTAAGGGCATTCTGGGCTTAAACCCTAAACCCTAAACCCTAAACCCTAAACCCTTAAAGGGCATTCTGGGCCTCCTCGGCTCGCCGCTGCTGCTCCCGAAGCTCCTCCTTGGCACGCTGCTCCTGGGGGCAAGGGGCCAAGAGAGGGACCCTTATAAGGGGATGCTTCCGGTTTAGGGTTTCGGGTTTAGGGTTTCGGGTTTGGGGTTTAGGGTTTCGGGTTTAGGGTTTCGGGTTTAGGGTTTAGGGCTACTATTTGCTTCAGAACCCCCCCCCCCCCCCCACAAAGTTGAAGAGAATAATCCCCATGTTGCCCTTACGAAGGAACATCCTTTGTTGTTTTGTGGGGTCCCCAAAGCTTGGGCACCCAAAATAATGTCCCTACTCTCTCTAAGGGCTGTCTTTGTTTAAGGGACGATACAGCTTGAAGGGTTTAGGTTCTTTATTGGTTGATTTCTTTGTTCCTCTCTCTCTCTCTCTCTCTCCAGCTCTCCTTTGCATTCTCTTTCGCTACAAAGTCGGCTTCTTCGGTAGGATAGAGCTTCAAAATCTCGAACCCATGCTTTGAGCTATTATTTTCTGGGGAACCCCCGCACAAAAAAATAATAGATGTTCTTATAGAGGCAGTATGGGGATTATTCTCTTCAATGTTGTGGGGGGGTTCTTGAGCAACTAGTAGCCCTAAATCCTAAACCCAGCCGATTTGGACCGATACTATACTCCCCTCAGTACCTTCATAACAGCTGTGCTTTTAACATTCCTTTTTTGGGTTTATCGGTTTAGGGTTTAGGGTTATTGAAATACACTAAGAGTAATTCCTAAGACGGCTATACTATAGTAAACCCGAAACCCTAAACCCTAAACCCGAAACCCTAAACCCTTTTCTCGGCGGAGTGGGATCTTCTCCTCCACCTGGCGTTGCAGCTCAGCCTGCCACCAAGCTCCGTTTAGGCTTTAGGGTTTAGGGTTTAGGGTTAAGGGTTTAGGGGCACTGGCATCTTCAACCCTGCCTGCACGCGCACAAAACTCCAGGAGTTTGGGTTGGGATCCTCCTCATATCTGGCACCGTCAGGCTTTAGGATCCCGCGGGTCACGCCCGAAGACCCTAACCCTAAACCCTAAACCCTAAACCCTAAACCCTAAACCCTAAACCCTAAACCCTAAACCGCCGGGCCTCCTGCTGGGCCTGCAGCGCCTCGAATCAAATCGCAGATCAAGGACTTTTAGGGTTCAGGATTGGGATGTTCCCCCTTATAGACCTGAAGCCTTAGAGCCATTTTGGGGCTTAGGGTTTAGGGTGTAGGGGGGTGTTTCCCCTGATACCAACAGTCCTTAATCGGGATTATACTAGGTGGGGGGGGGGGGGGTACTAGCATCCCTTGTCAGGACTGTTATAAGGGCGAACATCCCAAGTTCGGAGTCGGAAAGTTGGGGAGCCTGGACCCTAAACCCCTTGCAGAGTACGCGCCGCCGAACACCTGAACGACTTGCTCCTTATGTACGAAAATCCTCGAGCTTTAGGCTCAGGACTTCTCTGGCAGATTGCAGATCGCCCCAGATCTGGGCCCGCAACTCTCCACGTTGGGGGTTCTCAGGGCCGCTTAGAAGCTTGGGTTGTGGGCTCTGGGTTTTATTTCCTTCTTTTTACTTGTTTTTGTTTGTTTGTTTTTGTTTTTACTTGTTTTTGTTTGTTTTTTTTTTAGGGGGGGGGGGGGGGGAATCACATCGTGCCTGCATCGCCATGATGGTGCTGCTGGCGATGACAGTCTCGCGCCCCTTGGCCTTGAACATAGCGCCTGTGGCAGGCTGGCATGCAGATGCCAAACCCTAAACAAAAGCACGAACAAACCCTAGAAATCCTACCTTAAGAACCCCCAAAACCCACCTTTTTGTAGGTTCGTATTCTAAAATGCCCTTGTAGTATTCAAAATTCCAATGCAGCCTCCACAAAAAAGAGTCGGTTTTGAGTCGGAAGGTATAACCCCTAACATGGTCAGCATCCGAGTAGCTTGAGGGCACAGATCACTAACCCTAAACCCTAAACCCTAAACCCTAAACCCTAAACCGTCAACCCTCAACCCTAAACCCTAGACACACCTGTAACCTATACCCACATCGATGGATGAGTCTGTGGGCTCCATGCCTGAGTCCCTAACCCGAACCCCTACACCTTCAACCCCCATTACCCAACCACAATAAGCCCTTGGAATGCTCCCCCTTATACCAACAGTCCTTAAAAGGGATTAGAGTACCCCCCCCCCACCCCATCAAAAATCCCTATTAAGGACTCTTAGTATAAGGGGGAACATCCCAAATAAGCCCGTATAAACCACCCAAACCCCCCAAACCCTAAACCCTAAACCCCAAACCCCAAGCCCCAAACCCCAAACCCTAAACCCTAAACCCTAAACCCTAAACCCTAAACCCTAAACCCTAACCCTCCTCACATCTCCCTCCACGGCCTGCGCGCTCGGCCGCAGCCTTAGGTTCCCAGAAGGGACCCGGCAACCCGACACCCAACCCCCCCCCCCCCCCAACTAGAAGAGGGTGTTGGCGGTTCTTATAGTACTAATATATAGGGGCTCAAAGGCTCCCCAAAAGAAAAAAGAAAAACCTCTTTGAGGACTCGGATTAGAAGGCTTCTGCCTTGAGGGCTTCAGATTTACAAATTTGGCCTTCGGCGTCTCATAAAAGATCCCAGAACGCTTCGGCCTCAGGTCCTACACCTCCCAAAGACCGTCTCAAAGTGCAGGATTGAAACTGCAAGTGGACCTTTCGGGTTTGTTGTTCCAAGTAACAACCGCACCGGTGTGCGCAAATCGGAGGCCATAGGTTCCTGAACCCTAAACCCTAAACCCTAAACCCTAAGCCCTGTTAGAATACTAATGTCCGACGGCAGGCGCTGACTTCTTTCGGCTTCTCTGGCTGTGACCGGGAGGCCTGAACAGGGTTTAGTTTAGGGTTTAGGGTTTATGTGTAAGGTTTGGGGTTCGGGTTTAAGGTTTAGGGTTTAGGGTTTCGGGTTTAGGGTTTAGGAATGCCCAAAACGCCAAGCAGCCCTGTAAGCCACACGTCCAAACTCACAATCTCGAGCTGACCCTGACTGCTGATCTAACCTTGGGATGTCCCCCCTATACTAACAGCTCCTAACCCTAAACCCTGAACCCTGAACCCTAAACCCTAAACCCTAAACCGGGGGTACAATCATCCCTCCCTTTCTCGGACTATTAGTATAACAGGGAGCATCCCAAGATCTAACCCCTCTAGAACTTGGTAGCCCACTTACAATTTTAAAATAAGGGTACCCTTTTTTGGCTTGCTTACTTTACAAGGGAACCTTGAAAAAAGGGAAAAGGGTACCACTGGGCTGCCAATATGTTGCGCGGCTCCATGGCCCCCTCACTGCCCCTCCCAATCAGCCCGGTTTAGGGTTTGGGGAGTTGTGACCTGCACCCAAAGCACCCATCATCACTGCCAAACAAGGTATTTGTGGCCCAAAGCAACACTGAGCACAAAACGCTAGAAACCCTAAACCCTCTACTCTAAACATACCCCACTAAGCCTAAATCCCTAAACCCCAAACCCCAAAGCCCAAACCCTAAACCCTAAACCCCACTGCAGGCCTGCTTTTTGACTTTTGACTTGGTGCTGTTGGCATTCATCAAGAACTGCCCCTGGAGAGCTTGGAGCTAAGGCCAGCTTGCCTTACTTGGGGTTTAGGGTTCAGGGTTTAGGGTTTAGGGTTTAGCGTTTACGGTTTAGGGTTTAGGGTTGTTTTTTGCCACTTTCTCGATTTGTGCTTGTCAGCCCTGCGCCGGGGCCATGCTAGTCTTCCCTGAATCGCTCCAATTTTATCGGATGATCCCAGGGTTTAGGGGGTTCAGGGTTTAGGGTTTAGGGTTCAGGGTTCAGGGTTTAGGGTTTAGGGTTCAGGGTTCAGGGTTCAGGGTTTAGGGTTTAGGGTCCAGGGTTTAGGGTTGGGATGTTAGGGACTGGGTATTGTAATCCCTATTAAGGGCTGTTCGTATGGGAACATCCCGAGTTTAGGGCCTAGGGGGGGGCTTCGGGGTTCTTACGTGCAGAGTTCTTGGGCTGATATGTTTCGGGATTAGGGTGTATAGGCTTTGTAAGCTTGGGGCCTATAGGCTTTTAGGGCGACCAATCCCTAAACCCTAAACCCTAAACACGCTCATGAGCAGAACAGGTGCTGAGGCCTTTTCGGGGGCTCCAAGATGAAAGTAGGGCCTAAACCCCAAACCCTAAACCCTAAACCCTAAACCCTAAACATGTTGAAGGCAACCTTGGGAGAGTAAAGTTGGGGACCAACTGAAGCCTACATTTGGGGTCACATACTATATACTACTATATTCAATCTCTGTTAGGGTACATGGACCACAAGCCCTGTTAGGGGTCATTGAGTCCAAACGGTACTGATGCAAAGGCAACTATTTCTGAGTCTGCGTTCCGGCAGTTGCTTGTCGTATTGTTATCCACCACTAAACCCTAAACCCTAAACCCTAAACCCTAAACCCTAAACCCTAAACCCTAAACCCTAAACTGGCCCTAAACCCTAAACCCTAAACGGCTTTCGGACTCAGGGGTCGGTTGCCTTCCCGGCGCAAAAGTCAGGTCTGAGCCTCCAAACCCATGCTTAGTATCCCACCCTTAAACCCTGGACCCCAAAGCCTAAGCCCCACCTAGTCGCCCTAAACCCTAAACCCTAAACCCTAAACCCTAAACCCTAAACCCTAAACCCTAAACAAGTGCAAACTCTTCCCAACCCCCTGTACTTGCAACCGCTCGAAAAAGCTGCTCTTTCCTGCAGCTGCGAATATCAAACCCTAAGCCCAGGGCTCTGACACGAAGCGAGCAGCACATGTATATGCATGTTATATGTATATATATATATATCTATATAATTATATATACATATATATATATTTTATCTATTTATTTATTTTTTCATTAATTTATTTATCTATTTATCTATTTAGTGCATACGCATATACATATACATACACATAAACATGCACTTTCGTATGTATGCATGTCTGTACGTATATACATATATATATATATACACATGTGGTAGCATATAAGATGTATGCACATACATCGCGGCCCGCGAAAGGGGCACTCTAAAAACCCTAAACCCTAAACCCTAAACTCTAAACCCTAAACCCTAAACCTGGAGCAAGCGCACGTCTCCGGCCTCGACGCCAGTCCAAATGTGATTCAACTCCACCTTCACCTTTTGTCTCGGCTTAGGGTTTGGGGCTCACGGCTCCCCCAAAACTTAGGGTTTAGGGTTTAGGGTTCAGGGTTTAGGGTTTAGGGATAAAACGTGAGCCTGACTCTGCAAAAAGAGTGCCTACACCCTAATCCCTGGTCTGATTCGGGGGGCTTTCAAGGCCCTACGCGGCTTAGAGGTGCGAGCCTGTAGGGATTCTTGCCCTAAACCCTACACTTCAAAACATTCCTAGGCTGGGCCTTGCTCAAGTGGTAGCTGCCAGCTCTGATTGGGGGTTGAGATGCTCATGCACGCATTCGGCTCGGAAAGCGAGTCCAATGCCTTCAGGCTTAGTGCTGGAAAGGTGTTTGAGCTTAGACACCTTTCTTCAACAGGCTCAGGCGATTGAGAGTGTCGTTTCCGTTTGGTCGCCCCTGAATCCTAAACCATATAACCCTGAACCCACAGGGTACGCACTTTTGCCTCGGATCCGTAAGCACTAAACCCT